AGGCTTGTTTCAGCCACATAAATCATAGAACCGGATTACCTGATGTGTGTCGAAGCAGTTGTACTTTGTATACCATGCGCCACGTGATTTAACATGAAGGTAAACTACAGTTTTTAGACGACTACAGCAGGACGTGCTAATTCAGAGAATGGCTTTTTTAAATAAGAGGCTCGGGAAGGGACCTTGGAGATCTTCTAGTCCAACCCTCTGCTCAGGCAGGAAACCCTACACCACTTCAGACAAATGGTTATCCAACATCTTCTTAAAAATTTCCAGTGTTGGAGCATTCACAACTTCTGGAGGCAAGTTGTTCCACTGATTAATTGTTTTAACTGCCAGGAAATTTCTGCTTAATTCTAGGTTGCTTCTCTCCTTGATTAGTTTCCATCAGTTGCTTCTTATCCTGCCTTCAGGTGCTTTGGAGAATATATTAACCTTCTCTTCTTTGTGGCAACCCCTGAGATACTGGAAGACTGCTGTCATGTCACCCATTGTCCTTCTTGTCATTAAATTGAGCCAAAGTGGCCCAGTGGTTAGAGTGCAGTACTGCAGGCTATTTCTGCTGCCTGCCGGCTGCCTGCAATTGGGCAGTTCGAATCTCACCAGGCTCAAGGTTGACTCAGCCTTCCATCCTTCCGAGGTCACTAAAATGAGGACCTAGATTGTTGGGGGCAAGAGGCTGACTGTGAACCGCTTAGAGAGGGCTGTAACAGCACTGTGAAGCGGTATATAAATCTAAGTGCTGTGCTAAATTTAAGACAACTTGGGACACGGTGGCTCAGTGGCAAAGATGCTGAGCTTGTTGATCAACAGGTCGGCAGTTCAGCGGTTCGAATCCCTATTGCCGCGTAACGGGGTGAGCTCCCGTGACTTGTCCCAGCTTCTGCCAATCTAGCAGTTCGAAAGCACGTAAAAAATGCAAGTCGAAAAATAGGGACCACCTTTGGTGGGAAGGTAACAGCGTTCTGTGCGCCTTTGGCGTTTAGTCATGCTGGCCACATGACCACGGAGACGTCTTCGGACTGCGCTGCCTCTTTGGTTTTGAAACGGAGATGAACACCGCCCCCTAGAGTCGGGAACGACTAGCACATATGTGGCAGGGGAACCTTTACCTTTACTAAATTAGACAAATGATTGAAAGAAACCATGGCTTGGTACATGAATGCAACTGTGGCTCATTTGACCTAAAACCAGCCAAAACTGAAAGGTAGGAGGTCAGGAAATTATTACAGCATTTTCTGCTGAAATAGTACATCTCAATATGCAGAGTAGTAATAGCAATACCACTTAAAGACTTATAAACACCTCCATAGTACTTTAGAGCAGTAGCCCCCAACCTTTTGGGCACCAGGGACCGGTTCCATGGAGAGAGATATTACCGCAGAACGGAGGGGACGTGGTGTCAGGGTTCCACGTAACAGCCCCAACGAAAGAAGACTCCAAGCCTAGAAGTTCCTCAGAGTTCCATTTTCTTAGAAATGTCATATTGGCACATATGGGAAAACCCGAATCTGAAAGCTTCCAGGTTTTCCCCATCCAAAGGAAAGTCCAAGTCCCTTCCCCCTGCACCCACATGTCCATCACATGGTACAATCAAAGCACCGTCCCATCTGGAGATGCCTCCCAGTTCCAGCCCTCCAGGTGCAGGGCAACACGTCCTTGACTCTCTGAGAAAGGAATGTTGTTATGGCTATATAATACCCCTGCTCCATACAATCCCCCCTCCCAGTTTTGTGGCAGGCCTGAAGATCCAACAAAAAAGATGGCTTCCAGGCCTGACATATGGTTTGTGTTGCCTGCATCCCGTGGATGGGGCTTCGCTTGTTTGCGCGGCCCGGTTTCTAGCCGGTGCCAATCCAGGGACCAGGGGTGTGTGTTGGGAAACCCCTGCTTTAGAGCACTCGCTCTGGTTTACAATGTAAGCATTATTTACATATTGACCCCAACAATCCGTGTTCCCCATTTTAACGACTTTGGAAGGATGGAAGGCTTCGTCAATCTTGAGCCCGTCAGGAACGAACTCCAGGCTGTGGGCAGAATGAGCCTGCAATACGGCATTCTAACCAGTGCGCCACTGGGGCTCCTTTTAAAAAGAGTTCACTTTTTAAGGATTTTGAAACACAGGAGGCATTTGACCAAAGGATCCAACAAATAGTTAGCCCTCGACTTACAACAGTTCATTTAGTTTCCGTTCAAAGTTACAATGGCACTGAAAAAAAGTGACTTATGACAACGGTGAAATCTGGTCAGATCTATCCGGTTCGCGCAAACTGGTAGCACCGACTGTGGGAGGCTCCGCCCACCCACCGGGACGTCATTACGTCCCGTTTTGGACCCTCTGCGCATGTGCAGAAGAGGTGCGCGCGCTCATACTCCCGAACTGGTAGCGAAGGCAAGTGCATTTCACCGCTGCTTATGACGGTTTTTCACACTTAACAACTGTTGCAGCAAGCCCAGAATCAAAATTCAGACGCTTGGCAACTGGCTCGTATTTATTTCAGTTGCTGTGTCTCAGAATTATCACCTTTTGCGACCTTGGGACAAGCGAAGTCAACGGGGAAGCCAGATTCACTTAACAACCAGGTTACTAATTTAACACCTGCAGTTGATTCATTTAACAACTGCGGCAAGAAAGGTGGTGAAACACCTGCAAGACTCACTTAACAGAAAATCTCACTTAGCCACAGAAATTTTGGGCTCAGTTGTGGTCTTAAGTCGAGGACTACCTTATAGAAAACTATCACCCACAAGAACAAAGTTGAAATCACAAACTCTAGGGAGGCCAAGTCAGGGCGCTGTGACTTTTTTTTTTTTTTTTTGCTTTAATTTATATGCCGCCCTTCTCCGAAGACTCAGGGCGGCTTACAATGCGTTGAGCAATCGCCTTCATATTTTTGTATATTTATACAAAGTCAGCTTATTGCCCCCACAATCTGGGTCCTCATTTTACCCACCTTAGAAAGGATGGAAGGCTGAGTCAACCTTGAGCCTGGTGAGATTTGAACTTGCAGTAATTGCAAGCAGCAGTTGTTAATAACAGTGCTTAGTCCACTGTACTACAGGCTCTCTACAGACCTTCATACTATCAGCAGCATTTTGGTAGGTTTCTAAAGAAAATCCACTGGCTGTCATCACCCTTCTAGTGGTTGTTATTAAAATGCATGGATTAGAACATGAAGGGCCCATAAAGAGAGGAAGCCTTGTTAGAAAGAAGGGATGGGAATAACCTGGTAGCTGTGAGGCAGGATAGAAGTCCTCAAAATACGGCTCATGAATTACAGGTAGTTTGAAGTCCACTCTTCTTAAAGCTGGCAATGTTTCCCAGTTTCCCAGAGCACTAAATGTGGCAGGCCTGAAGATCCAAAGTAAAAGATAGCTCCCAGGACTGACACATTGGCCTAAGGCCATCGCAGAAAAGGAACTTGACTAGAGGTAGTCCTCGATTTACGACCCTGACAGTGAGCCCCAAATTTATGTTGCTAGGTGGGACAGTTGTTAAAGGAGTTTTGCTCCATTTTACGACCTTTTGTGCCACAGTTGTTAAGTGAATCTGGCTTCCACATTGACTTTGCTTGTCAGGTTGTTAAAGGGTGATCACATGACCTCGGGACACTGCGACCGTCATAAATATGAGCCAGTTGCCCAAGCATCCGAATTTTGATCACGTGACCGTGGGGATGCTGCAACGGTCGTAAGTGTGAAAAACGGTCCTAAGTCACTTTTTTCAGTGACGTTGTAATTTCAAATGGTCACTAAACGAATAGTTGTACTTAACTGGCTGGGGAAAAAGTTGCAACCCAACACATCTGGAGTTCATCCTTTGGGGAAGGTCGGAATGCAATAAACACAATCAGCTCACTGCAAATCCACAAAACACAGTTTTTATTCCCAGGTTTGAAGGAGACACAATAAGCAGGAGAGGAATGTTTATTATTCATTAACTGAAGAATTTTGGGGGGGGGGGTTTCTCCCTCTGGAACCAACAGAAAAAAAAAAATCCCACAAGCATCAGAGTTTAGCATCGAGGTGCTTTCTTAACCTGCTGCATTTTTAAAACTGAAAACATTGTATTGCATTGTTTTAATACAAGCTTCCTGTATTAAAATCATTTAAACAAAAAACAAAAAACTCCCAACCTAACGGCAGCTGGTCCCAATAAACCATCAAAGGACCATGCCTGAACTGATCATCTCGCAGTTCTGTGATTAAAATATTGCTGATTTCTTGGGTCCCAAAAAATATATTTTTTTTTACTTGAGGACACAATACCTCTTTTACTGGCCAAATACAGTAGCACAGTGTTTCTCAATCTTGGGAATTTTAAGGCATGTGGACTTCAACTCCCAGAGTTCCCCAGCCAGCCATGATTGGCTGGAGAATTCTGGGAGTTGGAAGTCCACATGCCTTCAAGTTCCCAAGGTTGAGAAACACTGCAGTAGCAGAATAATAATAATTATTATTCACTTGTTGGGCTGAACAAAGAAACACCCAGTTCTTATTTCTCCCAAGTACCATCCTATCCAAAACAATCTTCTGTATTTAACTGGAAAGGTTATTTTAAAACTGGTTTGCCATAGTAGATGATTACCCTGTCAGAGGTAAGAACTGCAATGGATTAAATGTTCAATATGACCGGGCTTAATTTATTTGGGGGGGGGAGTATCTTTCCTATCCTTCCAGGAAGGGCCAAGTTTTACTAATTTACTACTGGCCCACCATGCACTCCCTAAAGTACAGCTGCTGTTTCATTACACCTTTAAGATGCTAATGGAGCATTTTCTGCTATCCTTCATTTTTTCCAATTGCTAAGCAATCTATTGTGGTTTTTGTGTTGCTTCTCCCCGGGAGAAGGAGGGATGGGTCAACGTGGATCAAGTTGAGCCCTAAACAGGCTCACTGAAATGGGAATCAACTAAAAAAAAAAAGGAAAATAAATTTCTTTGCAAAAACTACCAGGTGCCAGCACCGTGTTTGTAGTCATCAAGCCAACTGCAAGTTGCTTGCTCCAACCGTTTATGGAATGATATTGCTTCACAAAACAACCAGATTCAAAAGCAGGCAGCCATTTTTTTTTTTTGGTCTCAATGACACAACCAAAGGAAAAGTAGAACAGGAAGTCCAGGCAGAAGCCAAACGAGGTGGGCAGCCTGCAGTTCCTTAACGCAGAAGCTGGTGAATGACCTGGCCTGGCTTTGGGGTCCTCCAATGTACCACACGCCTCACCTGGACCCACAAGCTTTTTCCCTAAGGGTGGTGCCCGCCGCAAAGTGCATCCTTGAATTTGCCAATCTTTTAAGAAGGTCCAACTTTCCTGATAGGAAAGATCTCATCCCAAGCGACGGCGGCCGGTGCCCGCTTCAAACCGAGAATGGCAGCTTTGCATCTCAGCCGCTCGTTCCAAAATTGGTTAGCAAGGTAGAAAGGCCCACCCTGGGGAATCCTCATAATATTTTTTTTTCCCTGCAATTTTGCAGCTCCAGGCAGATACATTCACTGTCGTGGCTGTACGGCCATTCTCTTGTTCGAGGGGCCTGAAGAGAAAGTTTCACGCTGCCAGGTTTTCACATTGCAAGGAACTTCAGGATTATTATTATTTTGGTTTTTTTTTAAAAAAAAAGTAACTAGAGGTTCGAGTTTCTTCCATGGGTGAAACTGCTTCTTCTCTGGTCAAGCTGGAAAACCCACAAGTCCTATTATCACCTAGAGAACAAAACAACAGCATTAGACTCAATGGCTGTATTCAATTCCGTACAGGTAGTCCTCGACTTACAGCAGTTCGTTTAGTGACTGTTCAATGTTACAACGGCACAGGGGGAAAAAATTACTTATGACCGTTTTTCACACTTAATGACGGTTGCAGCATTCCCATGATCACACGATCAAAATTCAGATGTTTGGCAACTGGTTCATATTTATGATGGTTGCAGCGTCCTAGGACAGGGGTGTCAAACTCAAGGCCCATCCGGCCTGCGGAGTGCTTAGATCTGTCCCGCAAGGCCGACCTGGAAACTGTGAAGGACCGGCCTGCAGTGCCTCACACATGTATCAAATTTATGTAAAATGGTTTGTCGTGAATGCGACTGCTTGAGGGCTCCTGGATTGGAGCTGAAAGGTGAAAGGGAAGCAGTATGCTCCCTCCCATATTGGGGTAGACCAGGTGCTTCGACAGAAAAACACTTAATACATACATATCTATATCTATGTATATCTATGTATATGTAGATATATGTAGATATATATATGATTTTGTTTATAGCTCTGGTAGCGCAGCAGACTAAAGCACTATTAACATCAACTGCCTGCAATTACTGCAAATTCAAATCTCACGAGGCTCAAGGTTAACTCAGACTTCCATCCTTTCTAAGGTAGGTAAAATGAGGACCCAGATTGTGGGGGCAATAAGCTGACTTTGTATAAATATACAAAAGTATGAAGGCTATTGCTTAACGCATTGTAAGCCGCCCTGAGTCTTCGGAGAAGGGTGGCATATAAATTAATTTTTTTTAAAAAAGTATTTGTATGCTGTCTTTTAGGGACAAGTGACCTTGTTAGACAGCTTACATAAAAAAAGTAAAATACAATAAAACCAGACAGCACCTCAACAATTAAGATCGCTTGGTTAAAGCCTTATAACTCTTGTGCCTCTTGACAAACGGCAATCCACCTAATGGATTATTGATGTTAAGACTAGAAAAATGGAAAACTTTTTACAAAAAAATTAGCTAAAGGCTGTTTGAATATTGGCAAAGGGAGTATCTCAGTGGGAACAAATTTCCACAGAATTCTTGAGTTGAAGAATATAAATTAAATTCTGTTCAAGTACTGAAACGATTGAATTAAGCATCATAATCCAGGCTCGCAAAGGCTGATGCAAACATCATCAGAAGGGCCTTAAAGTCTCCAGCCCTGAACAAAATAGGCAAAAAGTAATTAATATGCAAAGAATCTACGTATAGTTCCTTGCAATCCAATCACACTATCCTGCAGCCCTGTCCCTAGGAATCATTTGTATTGCTGCAGCAAACTAAAGAACGCGCAAGGAAACTGATTCTCACCGTCTCAAATTCCTTATTTCAAATACCGTATCTTCATCACTCTCTAGAGAAGCCATCTCCATGGGATCTTCTGAGTTGGACAGAAGTCCATATTTTTTCCGTGGAGGTTTCCTTGTCCTACAAAATAAGTCTATAATCAGTTGCAGAATTTATTCACAAATTTAGTTCACAAATCCATACAATGGGCCACCTTCCTCAACTAACTCCACATGGCTAGCAAAGCATAAAACAGGAACTTGCCTATAAAACCAAGGAAAAAAATGTAATCACATTTTCAAAGCACAAGGCCAACAGGATCAGAGCCATCTAAAGCTCAGGGGGGAAGCTGTTCCACAGGGCAGGTGATTTGACTAAGAAGGCACAATATAAAATGACAACAGTTCCATAAAATGACACTGCTTTACAGAACGTCCTGGAGCAGGCCCATTTTGCTACTCTGTTTTCCCCAAAATAAGATCCAACTGGAAAATAAGTCCTAGCATGATTTTGCAAGATACTAGTAGTATAAGCCCTACCCCCAAAATAAGCCCCAAGTAAGATTGTCAGCCAGATGGATGCATTTAGTACCATATTTTCCCCAAATAAGACCTAACCAGAAAATAAACCCTAATGCATCTTTTGGAGCAAAAATTAATATAAGACCTGGTCTTATTTTTGGGAAAACACAGTACGACTAAGGCATGTGTGACTCCGAGTGCAGCCTCTCGATACAGGCACAACTAGACAGAGTTCCACAAAAGCTCCGTGACCACAGCTGGCATCTGCTATTTAAGACTCAACCATAAAACTAGAAGCACCTCCAAATTAGGAGAGTAGAATCCCATCCAGAACTAGTAATGGAAGGTATCCAGATCCAGAAGCCTTTTGGTACCATTGCTTTATTACTTCTGCCAGGTTAAGAGGATCCCCCCTTAAAGGCAATGATAAAACAAGTTTATGAGACTAATGGGGAGTGTTGGGCTTTAGTGCCTGAGGTCTTAACAACAGATTTCCACTGTGCTGATATCTTCAGAGGAAAGGCAGTCTCAGGCAACTGAGCAAAGACTATGCCCAATTTTATATGTAATTACCATGTTTCTCTCTGAAAATAAGACCCTGTCTTATATTTTTTTGAACCCTGAAATAAGTGCTCGGCCTTATTGTCATGCACTCAAAAGCCTGATCAGACTTATTATCAGGGGATGTCTTATTTTGGGGGAAACAGGGTATAAAGCACTCCATGGCATAGGACCCGGGTACCTTCGAGACTGACTTCTGCCACCAATAGCCTCCCACCAGCCAGTTCGCTCCCACAGAGAGGGTCTCCTCAGGGTGCCATCGGCCAAGTTATGTCGGCTGGCGACACCCAGGGGAGGGCCTTCTCTGTGGGAGCCCCAGCCCTGTGGAATGAACTGCCCCCGGAAATACGTAAGATCCCCGACCTCCGGGTATTTCGCTGTGCACTGAAGACCCTGTTGTTCCGCCAGGCCGGGCTATCGACATGATAATTTTAAATTGGGGTATTTTAAATTTCTGGGGTTTTAAATGGAGCCAAATTTATTTAATAATTTTAAATTTAAATTAATGTTTGTCTTGTGTTTTTAAATAGGCTGTACACTGCCCTGAGTCCTTCGGGAGAAGGGCGGTATAGAAATAAAATAATAATAATAATAATAATAATAATAATAATAATAATAATAATAATAATAATAATAATAATAGATTTATTACACAATGTGTCCTAAGTAACAACAAATAGATAAGTACAATACAGGTAATCCTTGACAGACAACCAAAATGTTTAGTGAGACATTTGTTAAGTGAGTTTTGCTCCTTTTTGTGATTTTTCTTGCCACCGCTGTTAAATGACTCACTGCAGTTAAGTTGTTCAGTGAATCTGACTTCCCCATTGACTTTGCTTAAGAGAAGGTCACAAAAGGGATCACATGACTCCAGGACACTGCAACCGTCATAAATATGAACCACTTGCCAAGCATCTGAACTTTGATCACGTGACCATGGGGATGCTGCAATGGCCATAAGTGTGAAAAACGGTCATAAGTCACTTTTTTCAGTGCTGTTGTAATTTTGAACAGTCACTAAATAAACTGTTTTAAGTCGAGGACTACCTAGATATAAAATTGACTCCAGATGCAGTCCTATTGAAGAACTACTTGAAGTTTCTCTCAGAGAACTGCTACTACAGGTAGTCGTCAACTTACAACAGTTTGTTTAGTGACCATTCAAAGTTACAACGGCGCTGAAAAAAATGACTTATGACCATTTTTCACACTTATGACCATTGCAGCATCCCCACAGACATGTGATTTATGTATTCGGATGCTTGACAACTGGTTCACACTTATGACGGTTGCAGTGTCCCGGAATTATGTGATCATGTTTGGAGACCTCCTGACAAGCAAAGTCAATGGGAAGCCTAACAACCTAACAACCAGGTTACTAATTTAGCAACTGCAATGATTCACTTAACAAATGTGGCAAGAAAAGTTGTAAAATGGGGGCAAAACTCACTTAATAAACGTCTCACTTAGCAATATAAAATTCTTTGCTGAATTTTGGTCGTAAGTGAGAGGCCTACCTGTATTTATTATCAATCTTAACATTTCCTGTTAATGCTGAATAATTATAATTATTCAGCATTATTATAAATAATAATTATTATAGGGAACCGGCGTTTACAAAGATAGGATGCTTGCTTGACTGCTAATAGTTTCTCTATTAGGAAAAGAGATCAAGCTTACTCCCAGTTAGTACTCTTCACATGCTCTGAGACTATCAACTCCATCAACCCCAGCTAGCATGCCAACTGAGGGGCTGGGTGGAAGCTGAAGATCATAACTTGTGGGCCCCTGATTGAAGCAGGTCCTTCTCCCTTAGCCTACAAAAGGCGGCCAATTGGGACTGCTTTCCCTAGAGGTCATCTAGACCCACCCCACCCGTATGGAAGCCCCCGGCTTTCCTCACCGAAACGTGCGGCCTCCGAGATAGTAGAGGAAGCCGATGCCCGCCAGGCCGGCCAAGACGTAGAGCGCGCGGTGAAGGGCCGGCAGGCCCAATCCCGACAGCCCCGACTGCGGGGACCCGGATGTCGTCGTGGTTGTGGCTGTGGAAGCGGGCCGGGAGGCGCTTTTCTCTTTCGGCGGCAGGGAAGGAGGGAGAGACGCGGCCTCGACGGATTCCGTCTTATTCGAGTGCGTCGCCGTCGTCGCTGCGACTACCACCATCCAAAGCGCCAGCGGCCAAACGAAGCCAGTCGCCGCCATTCGGATCGGCAAACGCCGATTTCTGAGGAAAAACGGACCGGAAGTGCCTCCGGGGGCCGCAGTGCAGCGTCGGACCAACTTCCGGTTCTTTACCGCAATTGGGGAAATAGGCCCGGCCGGATTTCTACCGGGAATTGCCTTGTTCTTAAACCTATCTTAAACCTAAACCTATCTTAAACTTAAAATAAGGAGAGAGAAATCCGCACAGAGCTATATAAAAGAGATTATCGGGTCGACTCGCAGAAACCGGGACTACAGTTCCCACACAGCACCGCCGCCTGAGGGAGCCTCAGTGGCTATTGGTCAATTTTCCCCCATGCATCACGGGAAAAGGGGCGGGGCCTTGTCAGAAGCGACGTATCAAGCTGTTGGCGGTATGATGTGCTGGGAAATGCAGTTCGGCATGGAGCAAAGTTTTCCTTGGAGTGGGTGGAGTTTATGCCGCGGTGCTTTTTGGGGAAAAAAAAAAACAACCTCCGTTCATGTTCGTAAAAGAGAACCTATTGAGGACGTCCTGCTTCCCGTCATGCCTCGCGGCAAACCCTCTTTCTTTCCCCCCCCTCGCCGCGGAGCCTGCTGGGAGTTGTAGGCCAGGCCTGGTTGCCGGTCGACCTCTCTGCTTCTCCTCCGCTCTGCCCTTGGCTTCGCCATGTTCCCCGTCGGTCGTTTCCTCGCCCGCGCTTTGGTGCTGGGGTCCCGGTCCCCGTCCCGTCATTATGCTGAAGCGGCGGCAGCTGCTACGGGCCCTGCACAGCTGGCCTTCACCTTCGCCTCGCCCTCTCAGGTATTGCCATGGCAACCGAACTGAGGCAGTTATGTGGGCCTCGGGGCGGCATGGCTGGACCTGCTGCTGGGTCGCCCATTCGTCGTCGGAACGGTTTTATGGGTTTGGGCATCCGTGAAACTCGCGTGTTTTGTTAACCTGGGTTTAGCCGTTGTGTGAACGTACCTGATGGCGGTTCAGGGTTAACCACACCGAGATGCAAGCAGGTAATGTAGGTGGAGGAGGAGGAGGCTGGATTCACTTAACAACTACATGATTCACTTAATAACCCATGGGAAAGAAAAGCTTTGAAATTTATTTATTTATTTATTGGATTTATATGCTGCCCTTCTCCCGAAGGACTCAGGGCGGCTCACAACAATAAGAAACAGAAAATACAAAAGTTAAAAGACAAATTAAAACAGAGTATCAAATAAATAAAGTTAAAACGTGGGAATACCAATTCAAATTTAAGATTTAAGAATATAAAAAGCTACAAAATCAGTATACAGTCAACCCAAATTGGGCATGACTCACTTAACAGCCGCCGTGGCTTAAAGCAATTGAAATTCTGGTTCCCATTCTGGTCATAAATCGAGGATTATCTGTATTGGGCTTCCTGGATTGGAGCTGGAGGACATCCGTTTCAAATATTTGGAGGCCTTGGGTTCTGTACCCAGATAATTAATTTTTAAATTTATATCCCGTTTGATTGTCAGCAACTTTGGGCAGTATATAAGTATCCTTCATATGAATCAAGAATAATAATTATCAGCTCTCTTGCTTTATATTTAAAAAAAAAATCCTGCGGCACGGCTTTCTCTCCTTTTCAGGTTCGTTGGAGATACACCTTTACAGGTAGACCTTGGACTTACGACCACAATGGAGCCCAAAATTAATGTGTGGATTTTTGTCCAATTTGATGAGCTTCCTTGCCACAGTTGTTAAGTGAATCACTGCAGTTGTTAAATTAGTAATCTGGTTGTTAAGCGAATCTGGTTTTTCCCACTGACTTTGCTTGTCAGAAGGCCACAAAAGGGGATCACATGACCCCAGGAAACTACACTGGTCATAAATGTGAGTCCGTTCCCAAGCGTCTGAGTTTTGATCATGTGACCATGGGGGATGCTGCAATGGTCGTAAGTGTGGAAAATGGTCATAAATCACTTTTTCAGTGCTAAATTGTAACTTTGAATGGTCGCTAAATGAACTGTTGTATGTTGAGAACTAGCTGTATTTTCTTTCCCTACAGATTTTCTACAACGCTGCCGTTGTGAAACAGGTAGATGTTCCCACCTTAAGTGGATCTTTTGGCATCTTGGCCGCTCACGTTCCCACTCTGCAAGTCCTGAGACCTGGCATTGTAACCGTCTTTGATGAGGATGGCTCCTCCAAAAAATACTTTGGTATGTATGAAAATGATGGCTGGTCAAAGAACAGGAAATTATCTTAGCTGAGGGTATCTTTCAGAAAAGATATGCAGTCCAGTTTTCCGAGAATCTGCAAACTGGGCTTGGGAACCATCAACAATTTGTTATTTTTTAACATATTAAAAATATGTTACTTTAATTTATGTTGCTTACCGTATTTTTCGGCGTATAAGACGCACCTTCCCCCCCCCCCATAAAAGGGGGTGAAAATTTAGGTGCATCTTATACACCGAATATAGCCCAGCCTACCCACTGGCCCCCACTCTTTGGTCTATGTCTTGCAACAGTTACCTCCTTTTGCAAGCAAACAGCAAGAAAACACAGCTCCTTTCAGCTTCAGCACAGCCTAATTAGCACAAGTTGATTCCATGGCCTCCTGACTCTCAGCTGATTTGCTCTCAGCTGTTTTGCGCAGGGCTCTGCCTACTTGCTGCAAAGAGATAAATTGCTGGAGCAGATTTTTTTTTCCTTGTGCTAATCAAGCTATGCTGAAAACGAAAATGAAAGTAAAGCAGGCTGTTTACTGCAAGGAGGCAAATTGCTCAGAGGCAGAGGGAGATTTCTTTTTCTTCTTTTCCTCACCAAAAAAGGTAGGTGCGTCTTATACTCAGAAAAATACGGTAATTAGCTAAAGTAACTGCTGAAGTGTTTCTGAGCACAAACTATTCCTTGAATGAAAACATTCTCATATTTTGCAAAACTATTGTTCACAGCTAAAGAGAAAGGACTCGTTCACCTCCCTAAATTAATTCTCTTTCTTCCAAATATTGACTAGCTATTAACTTCCAAAGATTAATCACCATAATAGCATCAAGGTCAGGACAAATAATACCATTTTATACCACACTAGTGAAGCCACACTTTGAATAAAATATCTAGTTCTGGTCACCATGATACAAGCATGTTGCTGAGACCTTAGCAAGGAAGAGCAACAAAGATGATAAGGGGCCTGTAGGCTAAATCCTATGGTGAATGGCTAAGGGAGCTAGGTATGTCTAATCTACCTAAGAGAAGAATTAAGGAAGACATGATAACTGCCTTCCAGGACTTGAGGTGTTGTCTCAGAGAAGAGGGGACTGACTTATTCTCAGTACCAGAAAGCAGGACAAGAAGTAATGGGTGGAAGCTTATTAAAGAGAGATCCAATCTAAAAGTAAAGAGAAATTTTCTGACAGAACAATTAATGGAATAGCTTGCCTCCTGAGGTTTTGTGTGCTCCATTACTGGAGGTTTTCAAGAATAGACTGGACAATCATTTGGTCAGGATGGTAAAGATCTCCTGCCTTAAGCTGCGGGCTGGACACAGGTCCCTTCCAGTCCTGTGATTCTATGTTCTATGTACCAATATATGAACCATGGTGGCGCAGTGGTTAGAGTGCAGTATTGCAGGCTACGTCTGCTGACTGCCGGCTGCCTGCAATTTGGCAATTTGAATCTCACCAGGCTCAAGGTTGACTCAGCCTTCCATCCTTCCGAGGTGGGTAAAATGGGGACCCAGATTGTTGGGGGCAAGAGGCTGACTCAGTAAACCGCTTAGAGAGGGCTGGAAAGCACTGTGAAGTGGTATATAAGTCTTAAGTGCTATTGCTATATATGCACAGAAAGGATTAAAAGTGGCCAGGCTCACTCCCTTTCACCCACTGAGCTGAAAAAATGGTAGCAATGTAAGACGCCTGACTTGGCAACATACTAGTCCTTGACTTACAGCCATTTGTTAGTGGCCATTACAACTGCACTGAGAAAAATGACTTGTTTTTCAAACTCATGACCCTTGCAGTATCCCATGGTCACATGATCAAAATTCAGATGGTTTGGCAACTGGCATGTATTTATGATGGTTGCAGTTTTCCGGGATCACGTAATCACTTTTTACGACCTTCTGACAAGCAAAGTCAATGGGGGAAGCCAGATTCACTCAACAAACCATGTTGCTAACATAACTGCATTGATTCACTTAACACCTGTGGCAAGAAAGGTCGTAAAATGGGGCAAAAACTCACTTAACTGTCTTGCTTAGCAACAGAAATTTTGAGTTCAATTGTGGTCATAAGTTGAGGACTACTTGTACTTTGCCTCAGTTAAGAGTGGAAGCCCCTTGCACCCTAATCCACTCTAGTTATATTTAGATTAATTAAGGTCCCTGGTTAACTTTCTCCAGGCATGTTAGACTACAATTCCCAGGATTCTTCATTGTTTCTTCATTGAAATTTGAATTATTGCGGGGAGGGGTGGGGGGAAGGAGGCGGTATTGTTTCTAGGCAAAAAGTAAGGCCTTTTTCTTTGGGGAAATGAGTGGTTTTTTCCGCAATGCATTTTTGTAGAGAAGAGGAAGATATATGGGAAAACCTGAAGGTGTACCTTAAGCATCCACCAGAAATCTTCCTTTTCCTCTGGATATTTTAAATAATTAGAGGATTTGTGGTTGCTCTATTTTGCTGGTGGTTTTGCTTTGGCTTTGTTCCGCATTTTCTGACCTCTGGCTGCTCCTCCCACCATCGTTGATTGTAATTTTTTACATCATGCATTTCTTTAGCCAGGCGTCACCCAGAGAACATCCATCACCGCCTATCTAGAAAAGGAATGAAATAAGCAAATCTCTGTAGGGAGGGAATTCTAATCACTCGGGGACCTTTGTCACTGACTGATTATACCATTTCTTTGCAATTGTGTAGTGAGCAGCGGTTCTCTCACCGTGAATGCAGATTCCTCTGTCCAGGTGTTAGCTGAAGAAGTGGCTTTATTGGATCAGTTCGATGCTGCGGTTAGTATTTGTCCGTCTTCTCCTCTTTTCATTTCTTCCCTCCACCTCCCTTTGCAGACAATCCTTGCTTGGCTGCCAAATTAGGAGGGATTTCTCTGCACCATGCTGACTCAGCAGCACTGCAGTTCACTCTCTTTAAAAAAAAAATCAATTCTGCTGCAGCTCAATTACTATTCCAGTCAGTATTTAAAGTTAAAAAATATGCTTTGGTTAAAGAAGTACTTATTTTTGTAGTGAAGTTTGAAATGAAGGGTCCTTGGGGCTCTCTGAGTTTGGTGGTTTTCTTGCAGGCGGTTCATTACCCAAACTAGGTGATATCCTGAG